CTTGTGTGGTGTAGAAGAGAATCATTTACTGCTTGCAAACTAATGATGATAAGATGATGTTAGGGGGTAGGACTGGATAAGTCTGACTTCTTCCTACACAAGCATGTACTAGGTATAAGCAAATTGATATTGGATTATGTGTACAATCATGTGTGTTGTCATATCAGCTGTCTTTACATGCTTGAAAGAATAAATCAAATCAAATCAAATATAAATGTCATCATAATGAGATTTTTACAGTTCATCAGTGTGCAGCACTGAGCAGTCTGATATATGAGCGCAGTCCTTACTGCCTGAGATTTATTATGATGAATGTCTCAGGGGGCGTCCTTCACGTCTCGTAAGTTCTAAGAAATGTCACAGCAGCCAGATATAATAATAACAAGTCTGATTCCTGAGCCGTTTGGTAGCATTAAAACTGTACAAGACATTGTTAGGTTATTTCCTAGTTAGATAGATATTCAGAGATTTGTTGTCTAGAAATGTTAGTGGAGACAGATTGACTAGCTCAGGCTGTTAACTGTTCAGTAATGTGCCTGCAGTGCAGACCGCAAGCAGGTCAAGGTTACAAGCAAAGAGCTGTTAGTGTCAACTGTAATGCTAGTCTTAATATTTGTCTTAATGTGTAAGGTTATGTCAAATTGTTTTAGATACACACCACGAAAACAACAGCCACACACCTTGACTTTTCCTCATGTTTTGGCTAACGTTATAGCCAGCTGCAAAGCTGGTGAGAGAGAGAGACGTCTCGGTTGACGTTTCTGTGGAGGAGGGGGCGAGCCAACTAAGTGATGATATTGTATAGCAATTCTTGGTTCGGGGTCTTTTCTGCTTCCGGGCTGCTTGGGCAGCCTGGGGGTTGGAAGATCTCTGGAAATGTAATGTTAATTCTTGCCTGTGACTCTTTGAATAAACCAGCACGGTTATATTTTTTTATATATCCAAGTGGTCTGAGTCGTCCCTCTGAGTTTCTGGTTTGAAAGAACCGGACGGGGCTTTATAACAGAATAGAGCCTTTAACATGCACCAAATGTGTCATTAAAAAGCTTTATGTGCTCAAACCCGCAGGGCAGTTGGAGCTGCACAGAGGCAGCGCTGTGACAGCAGCACAGACCTTCTTCCATCAGCAGGTCAGTGAATGTGCACACAGCAACAACTGAATTGTAGATGCAGCAGAACAAGTGCAGAAGCATACAAAGACAAGCTGCACCTTTTCTTAAAGTTGCTGATTAAAGGCTTCTGTTCTTGGAGCTCTGACCTTTCCATCTTCCTGTGGATGACTCTGTCTGGCTCTGCTCAGGTGAAGCCAACGCCATGTTGGAGGCGTCGCTGGGCAGGAACATCTCCCACAGCACCTTTGTGTTTAGAGGTTTTCCTGGACTACAGCAGCACCGGCAGCTCCTGGTGTGGCCGTTTTCTGCCTCCTACCTGTGGGTGCTACTGGGAAACTCTCTACTGGTGTATGTCATCTGCAGTGTGGAGAGTCTGCATAGCCCTATGTACCTCCTCATCTGTGTGCTGTGTGTGGTCGACATCCTCGTGGTGACCGCCATCGTCCCTAACATGCTCCTCAGCTTTCTGTTCAACTGGGATGAGATCTCATTGGCTGGCTGCTTGACTCAGATGTTCTTCATTCACTTCCTGTCATCACTAGAGTCAACGTTGTTGCTGGCGATGGCGCTGGACCGCTATGTGGCAATCTGTCAGCCGCTGCACTACACTGAAATCATAGAGTCCTCCATGCCGGTGAAGCTGCTGCTCTTCACGCTGACGCGCAGCATCTCCATCATGGCAACGCTGGTTGGTTTGGCCGGTTCGCTGCAGTTCTGTGGCTCCAACACAATCAGGCACTATTACTGTGACCACATGGCGCTGGTCAGCCTGGCCTGTGACAGCACAGACAGAAACAGCGCAGCAGGCCTTGCCGTGATCATCTTTTTTGTGGGTATGGACATACCGCTCATCTTCTTGTCCTACATGAAGATTCTGAGCATTGTGTTGCGAGCGGCCCCAGCCGGCGAGGACCGCTGGAAGGCGTTTCACACCTGTGGCACCCACCTGATGGCTATGATGTGCTTCTACCTAGTGGGCAGCGTCACCTTCCTCTCTCACAACTTGAACATCCCCTTATCAACAGACGCCAACACTGGGATGGGACTCATGTACATTCTGTTCCCAGCGATGGTCAATCCCGTCATCTACGGTGTTCGGACCAAAGAAATTCGAAATGGCTTCTACAAGATTTTTAAACTCAAAGCAAAGAAAATAATGGCTGCGGAGGTGTCTCCTGCTCAGGATGGACAAACTGGACAAAAAGATCCGCAAATGTGCTGAAGGTTTGCACTTGGCACCCGTTTTTATGGTCTCTCTAAATCCTCATGGAGATCATCCAGACTGACTGACGTTAACCATGAGTAGAGGCAGCTCAGTGTCGGTTTAGTCTCTGTATGGGGACTGTTGGAAATACTGTTAATATCGAAAATGACCGGCCTTATCTTTGAAGCAACATTTTGAATGCAGCACTTTCAATAATGGAGTATTTTTATACCATGGCCCGGCCACTTTTACTTAAGCAAATGATTGTAAATCTTCCACTACTGCTATGAACGCTATCATGTTAGTTTCATCCCATTTACGTCTAAAAGATCGTAAAACCAAAAACACACACAGGCCACCACAAATGTCATTTTATTAAAGATGCACTGAAATATACAAGGTTCTTCCTAGCCCTGTCAAAATAAAACTGAATTTAAATAATTGGATTAATGCTATTATGAGTGTTTCAGGTCTTTTTCTTTTAATGTCATGTTGTAATGGAAAAAAGCAGATTCATTTAGTCTTTTAGGTACCAGGTACACACACAGTACTAATAGCACATCTGTACCATAATGTTTCAGACTGTAAATTAAACATCTGTACCATAAAACATATATTTAGTAGTAATCTCGTTGTCTCCTCATACTTTTCACGAATATTTGCTTGTTTTTGAAATTCTTTTCAGTTACTTAATACATCCTGCTGATCATTTTCCAACTCACCTGTTTTTGAAACATTCTACATGTACTTAACTATGCAAATCAATCCAGCCCGTCCTTTTTGAAAAAGTTACTTGACAAAATTATGTTACCTTCATGTGTTAATGTCCATGAAGTCTGCCCTGAACTCTCCCTGTTGGTGTGTTCAAGGACATTAGCATATCAGAAACTTGAGAATTTCCATGAGTAGTTCCATGTCCTGTTACTTCATACTGTGACTTCACTCCTTCACTACATGTACCTGATAACTTCAGGTCCAGAATCAGATGAATCGAACCAAACCCAGTAGAACCATCAGACTCTATTGATCCCAGTAGGAAATCCACCAGCTACCCAGCAGGATGGAAAGTACTTCACAGTATAAGTATATAAGGTAGTTACCATCAGCTCCACCTTTACCAGCTGCAGCATTAAAGTGATGGACACAGTAATTAGTCACCATGATCCAGTACCAGAAATGTTACTGGGACACGGGCTGTTCTACAGGACCAGTACTGGTACTTTTTTATTTTATTTATTACTTTGATAGTTATGTTTTAATACTTATACTTTTGTATTTCTACTTCCACTTCAGTGCTGATACATACCTGAGTTTTAGTACTGAGAGCAAAATAACTGAATGGTTTATTTGAGGAATCTGAGCACGTCTGCTGTTTGAGCCAGTTGTTAGTACTTGATGGTTTTTGATTCTTACCACTACAGATATATTTTGGTCAGTACTAAAAGAAATACTGAGGTTAATATGCAGCCTGAGTCAGTTGATTTTCATAGAAATGAAGTGATACCCGAGCAGCAGAAATCATTCCAAAAACATGATGCCGATTTGGAAACTGATCAACAGAAGCGGTACAGTATGCTCCTTTAAAGGGGGCCCTAGTCTATAAAGGTTAATTAATCCATGACATTAATAAATCATGTCTCATGCAAACTAGGCCACCAGTTCCTCTCAGCTGATTGGTGGTTTCCTCCAACAGGTACAGGTCCTCTCAGCCTGTCGGGACGTCCTGCAGACGGCTTCTTGTGTTTCCTTCATGCTCTGCAGCTTCGTCTACATACACACCGACTGTGGACAGCTCGTTAGCTAAACCTCCATCAGCTGAAGTCTCTGTTGTGGCTCAAGTGGTGAAACTGTTGCAGGCCAACTAAAGTTGGCAGTGTGGTTTATGAAGACCCTCTGATACAACACATGTAAACTAATGTCAACACAACGTTACTCCTGTTCGGTCCCTAATGGAAACACATAGAACAAAGTGATATTGGAGGCATGCTACCAGCCATCGTTACAATACCGTGACTGCCGGTTCAATACGTCATCAGGCTGGTGAAGGAGAGGGGAGCTGCACCGCCTGAAAACACAACGGATGTCTAGGCTGTGGTATTCTAGCGTTTAACACCCCGGCAGGACGCAGAGAGAGGACGGACATGAATGAGAACACAAACACAGCACCGCCAAGTGTTTAAAGGGTGTCCGGACTGTGGTTTGACCTATAGGTGACCTCCATTAGCTCCACACTACAAACAGCAGCGAAACAAGAACAGCAGCAGTGGCAGCGGTGACACTCGTCGCCTTTATCTGTCATTGAGTTTGGGCGAGTCCACTGGGTCTTCATCTTCGTCCTTGTCGTCTTTTGCCCCGATCAGTCGCTGGCGGGCAAAGTCTTCGAAGATGATGTCATCATCACTGAAGGAAAGGAGGGATGGAGGGAGAGGGTTATGGAAGTTCACTCATAAGAAAACTAACAGAGTTCAGGTAAGGACAAACGCATGAGCTGAGAGTAAGTTTAGAGATGGAGAGGACAGAGAGGTGAGTGAAGTTGAGAGGAATCATTTCTCTAGATTAGATTGGTCTCGCTCTGTGTTCCCCAGGGTCAGGTGAGAAAATGGATATCGGTTTCATGTTTGTGCTTCATCTTGTATAGAGAAAGATACAAGATGATTTTGGCCTAGTTGAACACACAGGCTGGATCAAGGGACAACTGGTAGCCCCTTCCATCAACTCCAAAACAGTCTGACTCATACAGAATAAAAATCTAAGTCTAAAAAAGGGATGGAATATCTTCATTCAGATATTAGTCTGGTGATATTCTAGATGTTTCTTATTGTCAACAAAAAACCCTAACAACTCTCTCAATCCTGGTTCTTGAGGGCCGCTGCCCTGCTTGTTTTCCAACGCCACTGGCCCTACTCACTGCTGATTATCTCAATCAGGTGTGTTCAGTCAGTTGGAAGCTGGAGGATACCAGTTCACTTTAATTTTCCTCCCTCCACCTTTATCTAAGATGGTATCTTCCAGGTGGGTGGGGGTGTTACATCCCCCATAGCGGAATGGTAGATGTGGATTGCTGTGTGTTGTCTTAGTCCTCCCATTCCCACACTCCATCACTAGCCGACACCCGGTTGCCTGCAACCAGTCGCGGTCCAACAGGACTTGTGTAAGGACTGCAGAGCTGCACTACTGGGCCTTTTGGCTACTTCTACTGCCCGGCTTCTGTCGATATGAGCTGTTTGGTCAGGCTTTAGTCCTTGGCTCTTTCTTTGTTGTGGTTAAGTTCAGCTCAGATGCTTGTTGCTTGTCTTTTGTTACCCAGCTGGTCATTTTACTTTTTGCCTGAACTAACGTTCATTGCCAGTAGCCTTTTTCTTAGTGACCCCCTTTTTCTCACATCAGGGAGTCAGATGTCAGGTTTCAGGAAGATACTTTTATTTTCTAGTTGAGGGCTGCTTTGTCCTTTTGGCTTGGGCTCTCCCTGAAGTCAATTTGAGGCTTTCACAACTTGGCAATAAAGAAGTAAGTGGATAAACTGAATTGAGCAAAGTGATTCCCAAATGTTTCTTCAGCTGGTTTTATTTATGGGAACCCCTGCTTTGTCTACATATTAACTCTAAGTTAATCAGTGGGTTCTTTGTTGTTGCAGCACAACTGTAGTTTCTGACCACAGTGTGTTCTCCTTCCCTGACACAGCTCACCGTAAAATACTGCTTTTGGAAGTCTTGAGTTTTCCATCCAGCAGACATGTCCTGCCCAGCGAAGCTGGAATGAAGTGGTAAGAGCTTCTACACTGAGTCTGCTCTCCTAAACACTTCTACATCAGGGACTCTGATCTGCCATTTAATGCCAAGAATTTGCGCAGATGTCACAGTTGTAGACTTCTCAGCTTCTTGATATGCTTGTGATAGGTTACATATGAGGATAAATTCCATTGCATAGTAGTGATGGGAGTACAGCAGCATTGTACACCCTTACCTTAGTAGTGCGTATGATATCTCGGCAGCTCCAAAGACGCCTATGTAAAAACATGTTCATGAATCCAATGTAGACTTTTCTTAAGAACAGATTTTGGTTAATCCCAATTGGCCCATTGATTTTATTATGGGAGATGATCCTGCTGGAAGAAAAGTGCTGCCTGTTCCTCAAGTCACAGATGCCATGGTGTCAAACCCAGATGAGCCATCACAGCTGTCCTGTTTTCTCTGCTAGTGTTCTCACCAGGGCCCAGTCTCGCCGTATGAAGAGGGAACCTGACTCCATGCTGGCATTGGCACCTGCTGGTGATTTGCCTGTTCTAAGCGACACTCGAGTCCCTACAGCCCCATCTGCTGCATCAAAAATGTCTTTGGAGAAGACTGAACTGGCTCTGCTGAAACTTCCTGTGACACACGAGGAACTCAATGCTCAGAAAAATTATTGTTCACTTGCTTAATGCTGCCATGTCTGAAACAGGAGAGGTGAAAGCTCTTTGTGCTCTTACTACCTATAGGGTGAGATTCTGATGTGCAAGAAGACTTCACTTTGCTCAGTTCTGACAGAGAAAAGTGGCTCAGCTCAGGAAACAGCTTGTGAGTAGAAGAACACTATGTACCAGATGTCTGTGCAGATTCTCAGTCATCCAGGTCTTAGTAAACTGAAAAAACTTAAAAAAAATCCACTGGACTTAATTTTCTAGGTCGAAAACGTTTCACCTCTCATCCAAGAGGCTTCATCACTTCTGACAGGAGTCAGAACATTCCTGTGTTGGGCCACAAAGTGAACCGGATTACAAAAGTCCTTCTCCTAATCAGTTCCTCTTGAGGCTTTCACCTGGCTCGCCACCTAGCATACACTGAGCATCTCTGATCCAACTTCCTCCAGGAAGAACTCCAGACAGATGAAAGGGGTTTCTTTTGTTTCTTTTCTTCTACCAAAAAGGTGGTAGAAGGACCACCTGAAGGACAAAGGACATTCTTTTGAGGACAGTGAAGTCCATATCCTCTCCCGAGAACATCGCTGGTTTGAGAGAGGAGTTAAGGAAGCTATTTTTGTAAAAATAGATCACCCCTCACTAAATAGGGGTGGTGGACTAAGACACAACTTGTCATCCATCTACAATCCTGTTTTGAGATCTCTGCCCAAACATGCC